ATCCAGCCCTGCCCTCTGGCACTGGGAGCCATTCCCTGTGTCCTGTCCCTCTATCCCTTGTCCCCAGTCCCTCTCCATCTCTCCTGTGGCTCCTTCAGGTGCTGTGGGGCCACTCTGAGCTCACCCCAACCTTCCCCTGTCCAGGTGAGCCCCCCAGGTGTCCCAGCACAGCTTCTCCATCCCCTGAGCATTTGGTGCCTCCTCTGGATTCCCCAGCAGCTCCAGGTCCCTCCTGGGCTGGCCCAGGGCTGGATCCCACCGGCCAAGCTCTCAGAAGAGAACACAGGAACATTTCATTCTTCTCCTCAAAGCACCATTTCCCTTCCCTGTCCGTGGGCTGCCCAAAGGGGACAATCCTGAGATGTGAACGAGGGCTCTGAGCTCCAAACAAACAAACACTGACCACAATGAGGGCTCTGAGCTCCAAACAAGCAAACACTGATCCCACCCAGCTCCCACAGGGCTGAGGAGGAGGCAGAGCCTCTGCAGAGCTCCAGCTTTGGTTTCCTTCCCTCTGTGAATGGGTTTGGTCCCTTTTAGAGCCCTGTCCTTACCGTGCTCATGGGGACATCCAGCAGGAGCTGGCCTCAGCTGCTCCCTGCCCTGAAACCCCTGACACCCATGAGCTCTTTGCTTTCCCCTTGGCTCTTTAGAAGCCTAAATTGCCATTGAGGCAGTGCTGAGCAATCAGGCAGCAGCAGCAGCAAGAGCCCTTGACTTTCAGAGCAGAGATTAATGTATGTGCCCCCTAGCTGGAAATTGCCCTTCTGACCAATTTTCTGTGGCTATTTTTTCACTGCTGCGTTGTCTTTTTGTGAGGATGTGGGAGTCTTTCCTCATTATTCTAAGGACTCTTATAATAAATTGATCTGGAGTCACAGGGAATAAAACCTTACTTGAAGGAATGTCTGCTCCCCTGGGACAGCAGCAAAGAGGAGGTTTTGTCAGCTAACAAATGGCAGAATAAATGCAATTTTTTACATTCTGATTGAGCACATGTTGCTGGAAGGGGGCTCAGTGTTATCTTCTTTCTACAGTATTTGTGGGTTTTGTCTAGTTTGAGAATAAGAAAAACAAAAAATTGAATGTACACAACAGAATTTGATATTAAGCTGAACACAGGTACTATGCATTTATTTGCATAATTATCATACTGTGCAGTAAAACATCTAATCAGCAGAATTTCCCTAAATAAAAGGGCAAAAGCACCCTCACAAAGAGCAGAAAGGAAAAGTTCCAAAGGCTGGTTTTTAAATCAGCTGAAACTTAGCATTTCTTTAGGTTTCAAAATGCACTGTGACATTTTTCACTGTTCTCCTTTGGAGGGGTTTGGGGCACTGAGCCAGGGCAGCTGAGGGGCTCTGTGCTTTGTTGGCTGGTTAGGGATTTTGTGCAATTGTTTGTTTTCTGGGTTTTGTTTGTTTTTGTTGGTGTTTTTGTTTTGGCTTTTGTGGGTTTTGTTTGGTTTTGGTTTTGGTTTTTTGTTTTTTGTTGGTGTTGAGTTTGTTTGTTTGTTTGTTTGTTTGTGGGTTGTTTCATTTTGTTTTGTGTTTTGCTTGGGATTGGTTTGTTTTTGTTTGTTTATTTTCTTGCCAGGCTGTTACAGTGTGTGTGTATCATTATCATTGGTTTTTGTGGTTTTGTTTGCTTGGTTTGGGGTTTTTTGGGGTTTTTTTGTGGGTTTTTTTTTTGTTGTTGGTGTTGTTTGAGTTTGTTTGTTGTTGCTTCATTTGGGTTTTTAGTTGGTTTTTTTGGGGGGGGGTTTTGTTTGGTTGGTTCGGGTTGGTTTTTTTGTTTGGTTGGTTTGGGGTTTTTTGTTTTGTTTTTGTTTTAGATCTTTTTGTTTTGCTTTGGTTTTGGAGGTTTTTGGGGGTTTTTTTCGGTTTTGGGAGTTTTTTTTGTTTTTTTGGGGGGGGTTGTTTGTTTTGGTTTGGTTTTTTTTTTTTGTTTTGGTTTTGGGGCATTTTGGGGGTTTTTTGGTTGTTGTTTTTTGGGGGTTTTGGGTTTTTTGTTTGTTTTGGTTTGGGTTTTTTGTTTGTTTTATTTTTTATTTGGTTTGCTTTGGTTTTGGGGGTGTTGTTTGTTTTTTTGTTTTTATTTGGTTTTTTTGGTGTGGTTTTTTTGGGAGGGGGGGGATATTTTTTGTTTGTTTTTTTTCTTTCCAGGCCCTCGCAGTGTGTGTGCATCACTGTCAGACCCAGCCCAGAGTGACCAGGGCTGGGCACAGCCAGGCACAGGGGGGCTGGAGCTGCTCTGGGACCCCAACCCAGGCACAGGAGGGGCTGGAGCTGCTCTGGGACCCCAACCCAGGCACAGGAGAGGCTGGAGCTGCTCTCACCCTCATGGGACCCTCTGAGATGCAAACAGAGCTGAAGGACCATCTGCAGCACCAACTGCTGGGGATGGGAACTGCACTGAGCTGCCCTGACAGCAAACCTGCAATAAATCTGCAATAAATCTGCAATAAATGGGTAACAGACCTGTGAGAGATTCTCCAGTGCTCCATCAGCTGGGTCAGATCAGGACCCACAGGGCTGAGGGTCCCCAGTGCCCCTGGCTGGGAGCAGAGCCAGGTCCCATTCCCAGGGT